GTCATCATCACCAGCTTAAGTGGTTACTGCATAAATTTGAATGATAGTGGTATTAACTGGTCTTCCTTGTAGGAGTATGGATATCCTATTACAGACAGCATTGTACTTCAAGATAGATCTTGAAATGTTCCTTTTAATAATGAATGTGATGCCATTCCTCTTCAATTTGTTGTTTCCAGCATAGTAAACCATATGATTGTCTTATTTAAAATGGCCAATACCAATCCATTTCCGCTCACAAATGCCTAGAATATTGATACTTATGTGTTCCATTTCATTTCTGAGAATTTCCAATTTTCCTAGATTCATACTTCATCTTTCCAAGTTCTCATTATAAATGGATATTTGCATCTGTTTCTCCTCATTTTAAGTTACACCCCATCAGTAGATGAAGGTCCTAAAAGCTTTATTCCATTTGCATCATGATCAACTCTAATATGAGGAGGCAGCTCTTCCCCAGTTGTATTTTGAGTGTCTTCCGGCCCAAGCGGCTCATCTTCCAGCACTATATCTAACAATATCCTGCTGTTATTCATAATATTTTCATCTTCTGGTACTATATTTTATAATGTTCTGTTGTTAATCATACATTTTTAGTGGCTAAAAATTCAGAAGTAGTCTACCTCGCTTCTTCCTGCTTTGTCTTAGTTTGGAAGCTCCACTGAAACCCATCCATTATGGGTGACCCTCTTGGTATTTAAAATACCAGTGGCATAAGCTTCCAGCATCACAGTAACACTGAAGCCACCACAGTGCAACAAACTGTCAGATGAGTGCTAGAAAAAGTTGGTAAAACTCTTCAATTTCTTCATCACTGGCTTTGGTGGTTAGTGCATAAATTTTAATAATAGTGGTATTAATTGATCTTCCTTGTAGGTGCATGGGTATTATCTGATCACAGAAGTATGGTACTTCAAGATGGGTCTTGAAAGGCTCTTCTTGATGATGATTGTGACCATTCCTCTTCAGTTTGTCATTCCCAGCATAGTAAATCACGTGATTATCTGACTCAAAATGAACAGTGCCAGTCCATTTCAGCTCACTAAGCCTAGCATATCAATCTTTATGTGTTACACTTCATTTTTAATAACTTTCAAGTCTTCTCAATTCATACTTTATACATTCTATGTTCTGATTATTAATAGATGTGTACAGGTGTTTCTTCCCATTTTGAGTTGTTCCATATTAGCCAGAAAGGTCTGGAAAGCTTTGCTCCATTCAGGTCATTAAGGTCTACTTTACGGAGGCAGCTCTTCCCTGGTTGCATTTTGAGTACCCTCCAACCATCTGCTTTAACTACTTTGCCACCAATGCTATTGACTTCTGTCAGCTCTCATCCCCAGAAACAGTTATAACAGAGTGAAAACGTGAATTGTTGCAACAAGGCCAAGAAAGCAAAGCTGCTATTATCAAAAAATAAAACTCATTCCTAGCAAGTCAAATTATGACTCACAGCTCACAGCAACCGTACACTATTATCAGAGGTCATAAAATTATTAAGCTTTCATGTGTTACCAAATAGACCTCAATGCATTTTGCTATTTCCTTAGATAAGACAAAAAGGAAAAACAAAGCATGGAAGTGGGCCGATATGGAATTTAAATTCTATTCAGAATTTTAAAGAAATGTATATCTCTTTGGCATAAAGCCAGAATCAAGATGCTTTCAAGCAAACTGATGCAGCACACATCTATGCCAAGAAATTTAGAAGAAAATTATCTGGCCAACTGACTAAAAGAGATCCATATTTATCCCCATTTTAAAGAGAGACGACCCAACAGAACGTGGGAACCATCAGACAATATCATTAATATTACATGCAAGTAAAATTTTGCTAAAGATAACTTTTAAATGACTGCAGCTGTACATTGAAAGGGACCTTCCAGAGGTTCAAGCTGGATTTAGATGAGGACGTGGAGCAAGGAATATCATTACTGACATCAGATGGATCTTGACTGAAAGCAGAGAATACCAGAAAGATGTTTACCTGTGCTTTACTGACACAAAGGCTTTGACTGTATGGATCATGGCAAGCTATGAACAACATTGTGGAGAATGAGTATTCTGGAACACTTAATTGTGCTCATGAGCATCCTGTACATAGATGAAGAGGCAATAGTTCAAACAGAACAAGAGGGCACTGAATGGTTTAAAATCAGGAAAGGTGTGTCAGAGTTATATTCTTTCACCATACTTATTCAATCTCTACTCTGAGCAAATAATCTGAGAAGCTGGACTATATGAAGACTGCAGCATCAGGATTGGAGGAAGCTTCATTAACATCCTGCAATATGCAAATGATACAACCTTGCTTGCTGAAAGTGAAGAGGACTTAAAATAGTTACTGATGAAGATCAAAGACCACAGCCTTCAGTATTGGTTGCAACTCAATGCAAAGAAAACAAAAATACTCACCACTGGACCAATAAATAACACATGATAAACGGAGAAAAGATTGAAGCTGTCAAGACAACACAATCAATCAACTTGAATTTATAGATTTATACAGAGCACTGAACCTAACAGCACAATACATACTCTTTTCCAGTGCACATGGAACATTCTGCAGAATAGACCATATGTTAGGCCACAAAGTAAGTATCACTAAATCTAAAAACATAAAAATACTACAAACCATCTTCTCAAATCACAACGCTATGAACTAGAAATCAATAATAGCAAGATCAAGAAAATAAAATCGGATACATGGAAACTGAATAACATCCAGCTTAAAAGCCACTGGATAAGAGAACAAATAAAAAACTAAATACAAAGATTTCTTGATGCAAATGAGAATTAAAAAACAACAAAAGCAGTGCTTAGAGGACAATTGGTAGCAGTAAGTGTACACATCTAAAATCAAAATCAACACATTAATATAACACCACCAACAATTAGAAAAAGACCAGCAAAGTAATCCTACAGTCACCAGAAGAAAATAAATATTAAGATTAGAGCAGAAATAAATGAATTAGAAAACAGAAAGAAAAAAAAAATCTAACAAAAGAAAAAAGGGAGAAGACACAAATAACATGCATAAGAAACATATGGGTGTGTCACAACAAAACAAATGCAAATAAAAAGGATAATAAATACTATGAAGACTTGTACTCCAGTAAATTCGAACATTTGGAAGAAAAGCACAACCTACCTAAACTAACACAAAGTGAGCAGAATACTTGAACAGACCTATAACAAAAGAAGAAGTTGACCAGATCATTTAAAAACTCCCAACAACAACAAAAAGTCCAGGCCTAGATGGCTTTACTGGTAAATTTTAACCGAACATTCAGAGAAGAGTTCAAACCAATTTTGCTAAAACTATTCCAAAACACAGTATCCAGTCCCTGGATAAGGACATCATGCTTGGTAAAATGGAGGGTCAGCAAAAAAAGAGGGAA